TCCGGTCAGCCAGTTCAGACCCCCTGGCCAGCTCCAGCCCTCCTCCCCGCCCTCCCTCTTCATCACCTTCATCCTTCTCACTCTGAGTCTTGCCCGCATACGACGGGGAGAGTTCCCACACCCTGGCGGCCCGCCACGCACCGCTCGGGAGGCCCAGTCCTTTAGAATTTAATTCAGTTTAGTCACTTGAGTTCTTGGCATTGCTTTTGACCCAAGCTGTCAGCTTACCCCAGTGCTCCCGTTGTTCAATCCATCTCCTTGCCCGCGGACCCCGGATAATACAGCATCGCCCACTTTTAAGACCTGAGAATGAATTATCCCGGGCCAAGACAGAATCGGTTTGGGGAATGGGGCGTGAGGCCGAACCTCGTTATCACCCAGGCAACTACGAGTCGAAGTTGCGATCCTCCGATGCTGCGTACCGTTTTGCACATCCTACATCGCATTATTACGTTACACTCGCTAATACAATTACTACTGCAACTACGTTTACAACTACGAACACTGCTTCTCCTACTTCTACTTCTACTACTACTACTACTACTACTACTACTACTACTACTACTACTACTACTACTACTACTACTACTACTACTACTACTACTATTACTACTACCACTACTACTACTACTACTACTACTACTATACTACTTACTTACTACTACTACGACGACGCGACGACGACGGACTAATACGACTACTACTGCTACTGCTACTGCTAATGCTACTGCTGCTACTACTATACTACTCCTACTACTTACTACTACTACTACTATACTACGACTAGGACTACTACTACTATACTACTCTTACTACTACTACACGGACCTACTACTATCTATATTTCATACCCTACTACTACTACTACACTACTACTACTACTACTACTACTACTACTACTACTACTACTACTACTATTACTATCATAACCACTACTACTACTACTACTACTACTACTCCTACTACTACTACTACTACTACTACCACTACTACTACGACTACTACTACTACTACTACTACGACTACTACTACTACTACTACTACCACTACTGCTACTAGTACTACCACTACTATTACGAACGATCATACATTCCTGTTAGTAGTAGTAATGAGTACTACTATGACCAATTCTAGTACTACCGCTAAGCACCATCACCACGACGACGACTACTACTATTACGACCACTACCACTAGTAGTAGTAGTAGTAGTACTACTACTACCACTACTACCACTACCACTACTACCATAACTACTACTACTACTACTACTACTACTACTTCTAGTACTACTACTACTACTACTACTACTATTACTACTACTATTACTACTATTACTACTACTACTACGACTACGACTACGACTACTTTACTACTACTACTACTACTACTACTACTACTACTACTACTACTACTAGTACTACTACTACTACTACTACTACTACTACTACTTTGACTACGACCACTACTGCTATTACTCATACTCGGAAGCTGGAACATGTACATTACCAGTGGCGGGCTGCTTTTCAATGCCACGACTTTTTGGAGGGTCGGGGACGACGCCGGGATGGTGTGGAGTATGTTTTTTTTTCCCGCTTTCAAGGAAGAAAGTATACACCAGGATCTCGTATACACCAGGATCCGCTTTCCTGTGCCAGATTCAGTGTGAGGCCAGACAAAGGCGTCGGAATATATAGCTCGGTTCTTAAATTACGGCTTCTTCGACTACTAGTACTCTTATAATTATTATTATTATTTCTACCACAATTATTACTACTACTACAAGGACGACTACTACGACTGTTACAACTACTACTACTACTACCACTACTACTACTATTACTATTACTACTACTACTACTACTACTACTACTACTACTACTACTACGATTATTACGACTACTACTATTATTATTATCATTACGATCACGACTACACTTACTACGACGACTACTATCCAGAGTACCACCAGTATTACTACTACTACTACTACTACTACTACTACTACTACTACGACTACTACAACTACTACTACTACGACTACTTCCACTACGTCTGCTACTACAACATGTACTACGGCTACTACTACGACGACTGTTACTGCTACGACTACGACTCCCAGTCCAACTACTGCTACGACGACTGCGACCACCACCGCTGCGAGTACTACTACTACTACGACAGCGACTACTACGACTACTATTATTATAATATTACTTTTACTATTATCGCCCTTACGACGACTAGTTTTTTTGTTATAAAAAATGTTTTGCGACTACTACCAATACATACTACCCCGGCTATTGCTACTACGCTTTTTATTACTCCGGCGACTGTTATTTCCACCGCTTCCACTACTATCAC